CAAGGACAACAGCATCAAGCTTTGGTTAAAGAAGCTCAAACAAGTATGTTATGACATGGAGGATGTGTTAGACGAGTGGAATACTTCATCCTTGATGTTGCAAAAAGATGGAGCAGATAAGAAGAACTTTTCTCCTTTCAAGGGAAAGGCATGTCGTCCCTTCAATCCATGTTTCTCTTTTGGCCAAGTTGTTCAACATCGTGGCATTGCTCTTAAATAAAGGACATTAGTGATAGATGAAATGAAATTGATGAGGAGAAAAATCAGTATCAATTGGCACAAAGGGAAATTACAGTCTAGAAGAGCAGAGAGTACAAGTTATATTGAGCTGTCAAAGCTCCATGGTCGAGATAAGGAAATGAAAGACTTAATAAACAGTTTGTTGTGTGGTAGTAGTGATCCAGGGCCAGGAGAGAGTGATGCCAAAACCATCTTTGTTGTAGGCATGGGTGGTGTGGGTAAAACAGCCCTTGCCCAGCTGGTTTTCAGTGATGGTGAAGTTATTGGGCATTTTGATCACAGAATATGGGTTTGAGTATCAGAAGTTTTTGATGGGAACAGAGTTGCCGAGGAAATTCTTGTTTCTCTTGAAAGTCTCGATCATGTTTCAGCTCGAGATCTTGATTCTGTTTCACTGCAAATTCTTGTGGAGAAAATTTGCAAATCTATTCAGAGGAAGAAGGTTCTTCTTGTTCTGGATGACGTGTGGACAGATAAAAGTAGTAGCTGGGAACCACTGAATGTAGCTTTCAACCATGCAGCACCTGAAAGTAGGATTTTGGTCACCGCTCGGAAGGAGACAGTTTAGAGACCATGAAATCCTTTCGTGTCTTTTATCTAAAGCAACTGAATGAAGATGATTGTTGGAAAATACTAAGCCTAGAAGCTTTTGTTGGAAGAACTGAGGAACAATGTAAAAGTTTGGAGGACATGGGAAGAAAAATTGCAGAGAAATGTAGTGGACTGCCACTGGTAGCGAAAGTTCTAGGAAGCATGCTGCGTTTCAGGGAAACAATAGAAGAATGGGAAAATATCTTGAACAGTGAGGTATGGAATTTAGAATTAAAAGAAGTTTTTGCCGCTCTGCTGTTGAGTTATTGTGATTTACGCTCAGCAGAAAAACAACGCTTTTTGTACTGTTCAATCTTTCCAAAGGATTTTGACATCAAAAGAGATGACATGATTCATCAGTGGATGGCACAAGGTTATTTGAGCTCTAGTCAGAATCCAGAGATGGAAATTATTGGAGTTAGGTGCTTTCAGTGCTTGGTGGCACGATCTTTCTTTCAAGATCTTGAAAAACGTGAAGATGGCAGCATAACATGTAAGATCCATGACATGGTAGTGGATTTCGTCAGAGACTTGATGCAAAATGAACTTGTGTTCAAGCTTCAAACTGCTGTAAGCCTGTAACACTTGCAGAGGAAACTCACCATCTGTCGGTAGCACTGGCAGACCATACACGTTTCCCTACTTCCATTCTTGGTGCGGCAAAATTGCAAAGCCTGAACATCTTCAAGATTGATGATGAAAAAGAAGAAGAAACTAATCAGTGTTTGAGTAACTTGTTTATTCAAGCAGAACATCTGCGTTTACTGAATTTCCATGGTGGCACTGGTAATATTGGTGGATTTCCTAAAGAAATAGGCAAATTGATGCATCTGAGACTGATTAACTTGTCTGATGGTAAGTTGAAGAGATTACCTGAAGCAATATGCAAATTATGTAATTTGCAATCTATATATCTAAGAAGATGTTATTTTCTGGAGAAATTGCCAGGGAAGATGGAGAAATTGATCAGCTTAAGGTATCTTGATACAACTGAGTGTTATATGACTTGCTATCCCAAAGGAATTGGGAGACTAACATCTCTGAGGGATTTAAAGGGGATTGTGCCTTGTTTTCTTCTCTTTGTTATGTTTGTTTTATTGTACTATATGC